TCCCCAGCTCACTTCACAGGGTGATTGTTGTGGGGAAAATAGAAGGAAGATATGTTGGTTATGCTCATCACCTTATTTGTAAAAATAATAAAGTTGGCAATAAATGAGCAAAAAAATTCTATCATCCTCTTATGGCATTGCAACTTCTAACAAAACTATTTTTTTTCCATTCTCTTGCAGTATGGCTCTGCAAATTTTAAAACAAATTCTCTAAAATTATGTTTCTGTATCTTCTGGAAAGAGTTTTCTGTAATAAAGTCACCTGCCAGAGAACAATATTCAACACTGAAAAACAAAATCTGCTTAATTTTTGACTGACTTATTGTGATGCCTTCAACGTAAATATTTTTTGAATTCACTTGACATTTAAAAGAAATGATCTGGGGATTAATGGAAAATAAAGATTTATAATATTGTGTTGAAATCCTGAAAGCCTCTTCAGAAATAAGTGAAGATCCATAAAAGCACAATATTTCTGACTCCCTCGTGAACAAAAGTCTCCATGAGACACCAAGCTGCTTTCTGAGTTCTGCGTGTCCACAGCTTTTAACATTCTAGAAAAGCCTCGTTGAATGAATTTGATGGTTTATTGTGGCTGATTCATCTTTATAGTGGTAGACTTTGGCTGTATCTAGCTATGTTTCTATATTTTCTTTGAACACATCCAAAGAACTGAAAATTTCTTAAGTTCTAAAAGAAATTGCATCCTCTCAGGTTTTGAACCTAGGCACTTTGTGGTTTCTTTGAAACACTGGGCATGCATTCCTACAAGTGGAATTATTTATGATCCAGTAATCTATCATTAATGGCTTGAACTGGGAAGAAAAGCAACAGAAGTCAGATTTAGGGTAATTTAGAATTCTATTCCCTTTCCTAATTTCATATTGTGTTCAAAAGGTGTATTCTTGGAGAATTCACCATATAGAGTGGCTAGAAAGGGATTTTTTTTTTTAAATGGAATCTGTGCTTTGCCACTGGAGACAATGGACTTCACTTTGCTATTTGGGTTATTACCTGGGAATGGCTTACTACTATTTCTTGTTTTAGGAAAGTTAATCATGCATGCATTGAAATGAAAAGCCATTATTCTATGTCAAAGCATCTGCTCTGTATACAAAATATCACAGATTTAATTTGTGGTATCTTTTTAAATGGACTCCAGAAAATGGTAGAGGACAGGAAGACCTGGAGGAACGTTGTCCATGGGGTCGCGATGGGTCGGACACGACTTCGCAATTAACAACAACAACAACAAATCTTTTTCTAGGTGAAAAAGATTTCTGGTTAAATTCTGGACAGCCATTTGCAATTAGTACAATCCACTGTCACTGATTATGTATCATCAAGTTGCTATCAAATGACCAGGTTCAAATAATAATTATTTGTTGTTAAACACAGAGGGTCACATAGCTCCATAAAGCATGCAACAACAGGATCACATGAAAACTCTGGATTGATTGGTTCTATGATATATTTGTTTGCTTTCTTGATTATCCATGAAGGAGGCAGTTATCAGAAGCCTTCTCCAATACCAAAGTTCAAAAGTATTACTATTCTTTCTACGTAGCTTCTTCAAAGACCAATGTTCAATTCCATAGAATATAACAGAACTCTATTGCCTACATGATTCCAGTCTTTGTACCTTTGTACAAGGTAGAAGAAGTCAAGAAACCAATGCTATATAAGTCTGAAACTTTTATTGGAATAGCTAATGTTGCAGAACCTTGCAAGACTGAATGTGCTAAAATTTCCCCTTCCCTCATTTATCTTTATGTGAATTAAGGAAGACCCTGTCTGAGGTGTTTTCTTAAGTTTGTTTCTTGGAAGGAGCCAAGTCTGGCCGGTCTGATTATCATCTTGGTAACAGCTGTTCCCCCACCTTCAAGGCCATTCCCTATGTTCTCTATTGTAACTATAAACATGCCACAGCATCTGAATAGTTTCCCCAAGGCTTTCATTATTAACATAATATATTTATTAAATTTATATGCCAGTCATCTCACTATTCTAACTGACTCACTCACCTACTCACTCACTATTTTACAGGTGAAACTCGAAAAATTAGAATATCGTGCAAAAGTTCATTTATTTCAGTAATGCAACTTAAAAGGTGAACCTAATATATGAGATAGACTCATTACAAGCAAAGCAAGATAGTTCAAGCCGTGATGTGTCATAAGTGAGATGATTATGGCTTGCAACTCATGAAAACCCCAAATCCACAATCTCAGAAAATTAGAATATTACATGCAATCAATAAAACAAGGATTGTACATAGAACAATATCGAACCTCTGAAAAGTATAAGCATGCATAGGTACTCAGTACTTGGTTTGGACCCCTTTTGCAGCAATTACTGCCTCAATGCGGCGTGGGATGGAAGCTATCGGCCTGTGGCACTGCTGAGGTGTTATGGAAGACCAGGATGCTTCAATAGCGGCCTTCAGCTCTTCTGCATTGTTTGGTCTCATTTCTCTCATCTTTCTCTTGGCAATGCCCCATAGATTCTCTATGGGGTTCAGGTCAGGTGAGTTTGCTGGCCAATCAAGCACAGTAATCTCACGTTCATGAACCAGGTTTTGGTGCTTTTGGCAGTATGTGCTTCTCCATTCTTCCTCCAGACTCTGGGTCCTTGGTTCCCAAATGAGATGCAAAAGTTCCTCTCATCAGAAAAGTTGCTCTCATCAGAAAAGAGGACTTTGGACCACTGAGCAACAGACCAGTTCTGTTTTTCTTTAGCTCAGGTAAGATGCTTCTGACATTGTTTGTTGTTCAGGAGTGGCTTGACAAGAGGAATACAACATTTGAAGCCCATGTCCAGGATCCGTCTGTGTGTGGTGGCTCTTGATGCACTGATCCAGCCTCAGTCCACTCCTTGTGAAAGTCCGCAACACTTTTGAATGGCCTTTTCCTGACAATCCTCTCCACGCTGCGGTCAACCCTGCTGCTTGTGCACCTTTTCCTTCCACACTTTTCCCTTCCACATAACTTTATATTAATGTGCTTTGATATAGCACTTTGGGAACATCCAACTTCTTTTGCAATTACCTTTTGAAGCTTTCCCTCCTTATGGAGGGTGTCAGTGATGGTTTTCTGCACAGCTGTCAGGTCAGCAGTCTTTCCCATGATTGTGATTCCTACTGAACCTGAGAGACCATTTAAAGCAGCGGTTCTCAACCTGTGGGTCGCAACTCTTTTGGGGATCAAACAACCCTTTCACTGGGGTCACCACAGCATGAGGAACTGTATTAAAGGGTCGCGGCATTAGGAAGGTTGAGAACCACTGATTTAAAGGCTCAGGAACCCTTTGCAGGTATTAGCTGATTTGAGTGGGACACTTTGAGCCTAGAATATTGAACCTTTTCACAATATTCTAATTTTCTGAGATAGTGGATTTGGGGTTTTCATGAGCTGTAAGCCATAATCATCTCACTTACGACACATCACGGCTTGAACTATCTTGCTTTGCATGTAATGAGTCTATCTCATATATTAGGTTCACCTTTTAAGCTGCATTACTGAAATAAATGAACTTCTGCACAATATTCTAATTTTTCGAGTTTCACCTGTATATCTTTGTACAGCCAACACTGAACTAGATTTTCTGACTCAAACAAAGATTATAAGCACTTCACAAAACCATGATTGCCAGTAAATCCTAGATTCCACATTATAAAGCATAAACTAATCTTTTACATATCACAGACCATGCTTTCCATTTTTGGGAATGTTGAAATTTGGAGGAAGTAGGTAAATAAGACACAATGGATAACCTGTGGCATACAGGGAAAGCCTATGCACACATATACTCTTGTCTTGGGAAAGAGTTTCACTTCTTTATGTTATGTTTGTGTCCATCCTAGCCTAGGACTTGAACTTCACTCTGCCTGAGTTTCTACCCTCACAATTCTACAATTAATTCCCACAGTGGAAAAACGGATGGAAAAAGTGTTGCAGCTGGAAGAGATGGCAAAATTAATTATTTTAATTGAAGAGAAGAATATATCTAATTTTGTTTCTATTGGAAACCGCTTCTGGACTTTATGCTTGAAACAGGAAAAAAAATAAAACTTTGATCTGGGGTTTTGATGATTAGATTAGTTTGTTGCTATAGAGATGGTAAATATATACTCAATTTATAAGCAAAAAAGTCAAGGTTGTAACTGTATTTTGTATTTTACTGCATCAAAAAGAGTTGGAAGTCAATCCTTCCCCCCCCCCTTTCCTCTTTATCTTGCATTTCCTTCCCATTATTTTTCCCTTCCCTATTCCCTTATTAGCAGTTTCTATTTGTATTTTATATTATTATAAGCTTCAATTAAAAAACAGTGCTGTAATGGGAAATCATACTAAGAACTGTTTTACAATTATGCTTGAAGAGGCTACAAAATAATGGAGTTTGGATACTTAATGTATCTCTGAGAAATCAAATGGTCTTTTTTTACTGCAAATTATAATTTACACAAAATAATGCATAGCTTCATGTTTCATGCTAAGACAAACCAAAGGATGCCATATTACAACTTCGTGTGATGTGACTAACTAGTTCTTACACATTTAGTAAAGAACATATTGTTATAGAGTAACTTACTCCCTGTACTTGACAACTGCCTCCATATACAATATATCAGGCATTCCAGAACCATAAATAGAAGACAGAGTTTCTACAGGTAATTAAATAGAAAGAAAAGTTGTAACTAAAAGAAAACATGCTATTGCTGATAAGATCTACATCTGTTAGAAGCTCTTTCGAGGAAAATCCCAGGAAGAATCTTGCGTTCTCTTTTCTACATTCCGTATCCTTTTTTTGTTTGTCTATTTATTTCTATCATTACCTGCTCGTACATGCTCTAATTTGCAGAGTTATCCAGTGCCAAAGAAAACATATCTATAAGGCACAATGCAGAAAAGAGCAAAGTAAGATATTCTAATGTTCCAAGGACTTTTCAAAACAACTAATACAGCAAAATGAATGAAATAACAAAAATCCAATGTACTTACATCAGTGTCAGGTCCCTTGTCAGCTCCAGGACAAGAAAAAGTAACGAATTCATGGCACCTCTTGTGAACCACAAAACAGCAAACTAAAAAGAGAAGAAATATAAATTTTTTTAACCATGTTAACAAGTCTATAGTTAACCATGTTAGCAAGTCTATATGCATGGAAATTAGTGTGACACAATAATATGCCCTGTGAAATTCTTTGACAAGCATTCAAATCATAGACCAATCTTCACCATCTCCTTTTCTACCCATGTAACAGTTTACAAGACACTATTTCCTTATCCCTTATGGCAGGGGTGTCAAACTCCCAGACACCCCATTGCCGGCAATGGTAAAACAGTCCCAATATAGTGTGTGACGTCACCTGACATCGCGAGTTTAACATGTCTGCCATATGGGGATAATATACCAAATGCTCATGGGTTCTGTAGCTCTTATTTAGCTTCTTCAGATGGTTCAACAGAAAGGAGTATGAAAGTTGCTACTCAACTAATCAGCAATCTTACATGATTATGGTATAATCTTGGAACAGAGTTGGCAGAATGGAAATGTGAAAAAACAATCATAAATCACTTTTTCAATGCCGTTGTAACTTTGACCAATCACTAAACAAATTGTTGTAAATTGAGGACTATCTGTAAATCATTTCTATGTTCAAAGTCACTACATAATTAAAAATTACTATTGGAATTACTATAGCAAAGAAATATGTATTATAAGGAATACTATTCTAAGTGTAGCTGGATGCTAGATCAAGAACAAAATCTCTTGGGTGACTATTTTACACATGCTTCTCCTAGTTGCCATTTATATATTTTTCACACTGCATAAAATGAATATATTCAATTTTATTTCAATATCTTTAACCATGGGATGAGGCATTCTGTTTTGCCTGAAAAAGTGAGATAAATGTTCACCGCAGGACAATTTTTTTTATTATAAGTGGAAAGCCAAGCTGACAGAACAGATCAACACCTCATGATGAACATAACTATATGAATTGTTTTCTTTATTAATTTTGCTCATCCTTTGGTAAAATATTTCCACTTTATTTATCCCATGAGAATGTTCGGAAGTTTGCTTATGTGCTTGTATTTTATTACTCTCCACAATAAAGCCATTCCAGAAATAAACAACTGGAAATGAAAACAATAGCACTGTTCTCTCTAGTTCGCATTCTGACCTTAAACTCCAAGATTCCAAAACAACAAGAGTCTTGTTTCTGTCCCTACTCACTGCATTCCTATTCACTGTGGAATGAAGTATGACTCAGTGAGGGGGAAAAATGATTTCCCATCCTCTCCAAGTCTAATGATTTTCTTGATTATGACACCCAACTCTATATTTCCACTCTTGGTGCCCCACGTGATGCTGTGTCTGCCCTTTCACGGCACTTGGAGGTTGTGGGGGCCTTGATAGGGGACAACAGGCTTCAACTGAACCCTGGTAAGATCAAATGGCTTTTGGTATGTGGGGATCCTGGATCCAGGACTTTTTCATCTTTGACTCTGGATGAGGTGGCACTGCCCAGAAAGATCCAGTCTATAACATGGGGGGTTCTATTAGTCTCATGACTACTGAGGTAAAAGCAGCTAGGAGAGCCTTTGCACAACTTTGTGTTGTGCGCCAGTTGTGGCTTTTCCTGGACCAGGATTCCCTGCACTCAGTCCCTAGTTATCTCATGGCTAGACTATGGTAATGCAAGGCTACCCTTGAAGAGCATTTAGAAGTTATAGCTGGTGTAGAGTGAGGCAGCATGGATAGTTTTGAGTCCCCCAAGAATGGCCCTTATAACACCACTGCTCCACAAGCTGCACTGGTTGCCAGACTGCTTCTAGGTGCAATTCAAGGTGTTGATTACACCTTTAAAGCCCTTCATGGCATGGATCCAGGTTACTTGAGGGACCGTCTCAACCCCACTGGGGTTGGCAGGTAGCACTCATGCAGGCAGAGGAGGCATGTTGTGGGTCCTGAGTATTCTGGCTGGTGGGATCCAGGAGGAAAGCCTTCTCTGCTGTTGCTCCTGCCCTCTGGAACATCTTGCCCCCGAATCTGAGGTTGGCCCCAACCCTATCTTTTCGTAAGGTCCTAAAGACGTGGCTTTGCCAGTCAGCTTGGGGCCCCAGTGGGGGAACAGTACAATGGAAGTGGCTAATTGAGTAATAACAGACCCCACCTCACTCCCTCCACCTCCACCCTCCCTATGTGGAAGAGGGCAGATAGGGCATTTTTTGCTGTCTTCTGAATTAATTTAAATTTACTTGAATCCTACACCATACTTATCAAAAGTAGCATGTAGTATTATAGAGAGAGGTTGTACCAGCTAAGGAAAGAACAGAATCTTCCATCCCATTAATGCACTGAAAAGTCATCACTTGCGATAATTACTTGCACATTCATAGTGAAGTCTGCAATTATGGAACTGAGATGGCTTCCACATAAGCCTAGACCCTGATAACACAGGGTCCTTATTCATCCAGAAAACAATGTATATACAAGGTATACGTGAAAGCTTCTCTAATTTAGACGCACACTCTCGATGCATTTGATTTAAGAAAGGTGTGATGTGTTACCTTTTCTATTGAGCCAAGACCCTTAGGCAATAGGATATTATGTTTACCTTTAATGCATGTGTGTTTTTAAGCAGTTCAGTAATATACATATTTTATTATTATTATTATTTTTATCCCACCTCTTTTACTTTATAAATAACTCAAGGTCACAAACATACATAAAACTCCTTCCTCTTTTCCCCACAACAACCCGGTGAGGTGGATTGGGCTGAGAGAGAGGTCTGACTCAAGGTGCCTTTCGTACCTAAGCCAGGACTAGAACTCAAAATCTACTTTCTAGCCAGGTGCCTTAACCACTAAACCAACTGGTCTCTTATCTGCATCCACCTCCATCCCTCCGTCTCCACACAAGCCCCCCCAATACAGATTTTTCAATCAATATTTGAACCTGATTATCAACATGCTTCAAAACTACTTGTAACCATCCTCTTCCCCCCATTAGTGGCTATAATTTTGTCCAATTAAGAGGAAACTTAAGAATAGTTAATTAAATTTCTTCATTCTGGTAGAATCCAAGTCTACTAAGCTACATCTGTCATAATACCCAACCATCTTCATTACTGGCTATTGGAAATGACAAGTGTTTACAACCTAATACATCTGAAGAATATCAAGTACTGGAAGGCTGAGGCCAATCACTAAGAACTATGAACAAATTAGCTGCAAAATAGTAATGAACTTGTTAACATTTTCAGAGCAGCTTCTTTGGATTAATTGAGCATGCACATATAATAGTCAAGTTTTGCTTGAATATGGAGTTGTATTTAGTTATATATTTTATCCTCAATACAAGCTTATGAGGCAAATTGTCCCAGCAGAAAATCATTTGTGCAAGTCTATATTACTGCTTGAAAGCAAGTTTGGTCTAGTAGTTAAGACATCAGGCTAGAAACCACGAGACTGTGAGTTCTAGTCCTGCCTTGGGCAAAAAGCCAGCTGGGTGACTTTGGGCCAGTCGCTTTCTATCTGCCCTAGGAAGGAGGCAATGGGAAACTACTTTTGAAAACCTTGCCAAGAAAACTGCAGGGACTTATCCAATCTTTTGAGAATCAGACATAATTGAATGGAAAAAGAAAATAAAGTAACTGTTGTCCATTTGCATTTTTTGTCATATTCATAACTTCCTTACATACATAATTTGTAGCCAATAATCCCTATAGAGGCAAATCAGGATGGAAGAAAAAAACCTTTTGAACTAATTTGTAAAAAGCCATTCCTGACCCTACACTGAACCTCTTCAAAGCAATAGCATTTTATTCTGCAAATTCAAGATGTAACAAGGACTGCTAAAGCAGTGGTTCTCAACCTTTTTAATGCCGCGACCCCCAACTGGTCGTAAGTCGAGGACTACTCAACTGGTCGTAAGTCGAGGACAACTCAACTGGTGCAGTACCGTTTGCAGAATGGGACTTTTGTCGGGCTTAGCAGGGCAGAGACAGCCTGGACAATTCCTATTGGCTTTTGAAAACCAATAGAATTAGACTCTATTCAAGAGGGTCTATTCTATTGGCATTCAAAAGCCAATAGAATAAAAGGGAGTAGCACAGCTAAGGAAAAGGGGGAAAAAATGGCGGACTGTGTTGTTTGGCGACCCCCGTGAAATGGTCGTTCGACCCCAAATGGGGTCCCGACCCACAGGTTGAGAACCACTGTGCTAAAGCATTATCTTGATTGATCAAAGTATATTGAACAATATTTTTACCCAATAATTTCTGAATTTAATGCACACCGAGCACCTGATTGATTTCAATCCATAATATTATTCCCAGATGTCTTACTTTGAAAAGATCCATCAATTAAAATTAAGTACAGACTTCATTCACTATCAAAATGCATTCTTCCTTCTTTTCAGAAACATTTATATTATAAAAAATATATTGTTTACACTGAAAAGAAAAAACTCATACACCAAATCTAAAGATTCACTTTTATACTTATGAGATAGATATAATCACAGTGAAAACATACTATTTATTTCATTAATGCAAAAAAAAAGGTTTTGTATCACTGACATTTCAAATACTTAAATACAAACTATACTAAACCTGTGTACAGTTTTAGCTACCAACAGATTTATTCTTGCAAGCTTAATAAAAACTAATAAGTTTAATCCAACAAGAAAGCAAATGTTTATTTAAGGTGGAAAGAACAGGTCTGGCTAGCAAATGACCTGCTTAAACCAGTGCATCATATTTATGTAAGTTAATCTGATGTTTTTTTTAAAGAAGAGTTTCATGTTTTTTGTGGCCATAATCCTGTATTATACTAGAAAGAGTATGACTGAAGTAAGATCACAAATTCTTCTCCATATATTTGCACAACAGATCTAGCCTCTTCATTATATTCATACAACTGCATTAGTGCATGCTGCTTATACCCGTAAGATCTAAAACAGAAGGGCTGAACAAGATAAAATATGAAATGAACATACCCACCCCTGGGAGCCCAGGTTGGCTGTTGGGAGGAGTGGCTACTTGTCCCTTGGGGAAAATCGCCCAAGTACAATT